AGCAAAGGCCGGAGGAAGGCGGGGGACGGGAAAGCCTCCCCGCCTGAAGCAACCGAGTTTCAAATTGGGGAGGCAAAGCGGGGTGGAGAAGGCGAACGGCAGCGAGTTCAACGCTGACCGGGCAGCGGGAGCAACTAGGCCTCGGCCGAGGGAGTGGAGAGGAGGGCGCCCGCTAGGCAAGCTCACCTTCTTCTTCGTCTTGGAAGCTGAGGAGGCTGAGGCTCCCGCGTGGCGGCGGCGGCTCCTCCTTGTTCTTGTTCTTCCGCTCCTTCAGCTTAGAAGACGCCGGCACCAGCCCGTTGTTCCCCGGGGGCGTCTGTTGCGAAGGGGGCGGCGGGGGAGGGATAAGAACAGGCGGAGGAGGCTGGAGCTGCGGGGCCGTCAACCCGGCACCGCCGCCTCGGCCGACCGCTTCAGGGCCGCCGAAACCGAAGCCGCCGCCGCCACCACCACCACCGGGACAGGCTAAGGGGACGCAGCCCGTCGGGAGCGGCAGAAGCGGCGGCTTCGGACCCGGCAGCAGGTCGGCCTCTCCAGAAGGCCCATCCCCTCCCGGCGGCGGCGCCGGCGGCTGTTGCTGCTGCTGAGGCGGCGACTCGTCTCGCTCTTCGTCGTCCTCCTCAGACTCGTTCCGCTTCCGCACGTTCACGCGCCGCGCCTTGCGGAACATTCCGCTCAGGCCCAACCGACACCGGCGCGCGGGAAAGGACCTGCACAGGAAAAAGAGCGACGGACGCAGAGGCGCAACCACCGCAGCAGCAGCCCGGAGAGAGCGCGCGCGCGCACACACCGCCGCTCGCTCCTCAACTCGCTCTCCGCAACTGCATCATCGCAGCCATAAACCCGGGAGTTGGTCACAGCGCCCTCTGCTGTTCGCCGCCGGCTTGACCCCTCCCTCCTCCCGTCATGGGGAGGAGGCGGGGAAGTGGACGGCTTGCTGCGGCGACCGAACGCTTCCCTTCGTTCACCATAGACGCGGCGGCAAGAGCGGCCGCCAGGGTGGTGGCTGGAGAAACCCGCCATCTTGAGCCTGCAGAAGCGGTGCGGGTGGGGAGAAAGGAAAGGATATTACTATATGGGATTCTTTCTGTTGGGAACGGCGGTATTATTGTGGGGGGAGGGGCATTAAAAATGCTCCTCTGTCATTGGACTAGTGCTATGCCATGACTGCTGGGCGCCTTTTGCTTCATCTCCTAAATGTGTTTCATAGCACAGAAGGGTTATTATGCTTTCAGGTAGGGATAAAATATCTGTGGTCCGCCAGACTCCCAACTCCCGTCAGCTGTGACCATTGGGCAACAAAGTCCAACAAAGGCGGGGGGGGGGCGCACGGCTTCCCTCCCCTCCTTCAGGGCTGATTGACAGGTGCGTGTTCCGGCACTTGACGGCTGCATCGAGTCAGGACTTGTACGTGCAAGTGGCGGACCGAACAATTACGAGCGCATGTTGACTTTAAAACAGGCTCCTGCGCCTATATTTTAACAGAGATTTGGATTTGTATTAACAATTAGAAAGCGACAAGTTGGGCCTCCGGGTGTGTGTGTGAGAGAGCCTTCAACATTCTGAATTCTCAGGCAGGAGGAGAGTTGAAGGTGCCCGTTGTCGGCCGGGTAAACAAGCCAAATCGGCCCATGGTTTCTCAAACGGGAAGCAACCCAGCACTGGGCAGTCTTCTCATCCAAGGAGGTACAGCTGCTAGCTGTTGAAGATGTGGATTTTTCGGCTCTTAACTGGCCCTGTTGGCACCTTCAAAGGTCTTCTTTAGGTAGTGACCTGGAGTAAGTGAAGGTGGGCAGGCAGCAGAGCCAGGCACCTCACAGCAAACTCCCCGAGGGCACCTCTGGATTTTTCCTTTGAGCAGGCCAGCCACCTGCTTCTCAACATCCTCTCTGCTGCCTATTTGTGAGGCTCATATTTAGGGTGACTCTGATGCATTGTTTGACCTTGTGATGGGGAAGAGAGGTATGGCCATCACCTGCCCCTCCATGCTTAAGGGTATTCCATTAAAGGAATCTGGGGGTGTTGATCTTGTCCGAAGCCCGGGTTGAGGGCTAGGGCCATGACACGACCCCGACGGGAACACCAGGGGGAACTTGAGATGGTATGCATCGACAGGGCTCTCCCTTCCTGTGGTTTACCCTTACCGGACTTCCTGCGCATCGGGCAGGAGTCAGATATAGTTGGGTCCATTCAATGCCTAAGCCAATACTGCTCACATTCTGTAATCAATAAAGTTGTGGCCAAATTTGCCCAATAACATTAGCCTAAACCCATGTCCTTGTGTGTGTTATTTCACAACGAGGGGCTGGCTATGGGGTCTTGACATGCAAGTGAGGCTCATATTTAGGGTGACTGATGCCCTTCAACAACCAGGAGAGTGGGCAAGGTGTCAGGCTGGTTGCCTCAGACACCCACAACTTTTATGACATCAGGGTTTCATGCAGGTGACTTTCCCAGCCCTATCTGGAGACACCCAAGGACTGAACCTCAGACCTTTTGCTCTACCATTTGAGCTACATCCCTGCTTTACAAGTACTCATACCTTGGACTCTACTGAGGGGACTTTCTCTACCTCCAGCTGAGGGGAGAGGTGCATCTCATTATTTAAGGCTGCCTTTTTGAAGGAAAGGGGCAAGTTGGAAAGGACCTGCCAGGCAGCCACAGAAGCACTTCAAGTTCCCCTCATCCCTCCCTTGATCACTTAGCATAGGGGTGGACAGCCTCAGGTCTGAGGGCCAAATGTTGCCCTCCAGGCTTCTCTGACCCTTGGAACACTGCCCTGGCCACACCCCTCACTTTCTCTGCTTCCAAATATTTTTGCCTTGTCTGACTGGAGATAGAGAGGGGTGTGTGTAGAAGCTAGCCTACTATATGAAGGTAACATTTTTATTTGTTGTTCACCCTGATTTTGCATTAGTACTGGCATGTGGCTCTCAGAAGGCCTCTAGAAGGGAATGTAGCCCTCTAGCTGAAAAAAGTTCGAATCTCTCTTCATCACTCACCTCTCCCATCTCTTGTTCTGAACCTCACTCCTCTCCCATGTGATTATATCCACCCATGCAGTTCCCCTCTTTTAACATGGTCATATTTTGTACTTGCATGAATCTGTCTCTTGTCCATGGGCACTGATTTGGCTACATAAGCACTGCACTCTCCAGGTTAGAAATAGAAAATGCAAGTGGGGCCCTATAACAAAAGACAGTCATACCTCGGGATAAATGCGCTTCAGGTTGAGCACTTTCGGGTTGCGCTCTGCGGCGACCCGGAAGTAATGGAGCACGTTACTTCCGGGTTTTGCTGCTCGTGCATGCGCAGACAGTCAAAATGATGTCACGCGCATACGCGGAAGCGGCGAAACACTACCCGCACACGCGCAGACGTGCTGTCACGTCTTACGTTCTGTTCAGGATGCGAACGGGGCTCCGTATTGCAGTGTTTCTGTTCATGGTTGCAGTCACTCCATTCCTCACATGCTTGGGTTTTCCTTCCATCTCCTCAACAGTCAGTCAGCATTCCTGCTCACTGACCAATCAGTGCTCATTTGGCTGTGTTGAGGGGTTGGGTTGAACACAGTAGTGCCCAATCCCAGCTACATTAAAATATTGAATGTGTAGTTTCTGAGATGAGCCATTTTTAGAAAAGGTTTTGCCCAAATGCATTGTTTTTTAAGTTGGCCAGAGTGTGTTGTTCACAGGTATGTGGCGGTATTGTTTATCTTGTCAAATATCTCAGTTCTCTGCTATGGCTTCTTTTCTCCAGATTATTTAGTGTGAACTTCCTGTCCTTTCATATTTCAGCTGAAATGTTACTGCATTGCAATTGTGAGGTTCATGATTTAAAATATGGTCATTGGTAACTTTGTCCTTATGCCCTTCCATGATAAAGAAATATGGAAACTGGGATCAGCTTGGTTGGAGGATACAGCTGTACAGAACTAGCTATAACAAAGCTGATCCCAGTTTCTGGATTCATATTACAGTACAATTTTGTCATTGCTACTGGCTTGCTCACAATTGTAGTTCAATACTTTTTTGTTAGTTCAATATATATTTTTGTTACTAGGGGGCAGCAGACTCTTAAGATATTCACTACTTTCATCTGATTATACTAGGGCTTCATCTACTTTACATAGTAACAGTATCAAAATATTAAGATTTATATCAGAATCTGGAATTGTGCCGAACCTTTCCTTCAAGGCTATAGATGTGCACAATTTGTTCTTGGAAATATCTTTTGTCTCACTGAGAAATAATATTTAATGAAATTCAGTCAAAATCTAATGTAGACGAACTGCTTAGTGCTTCTGTGAACATGTCTACATTTTTCTCACATTTTGATATGAATTAAATGCCAGTACTTTTTACACGGGAATTGGTGTATTCACTAGCGGTACAATCCAAACCCCTCTTACACTGTGTTGAAGTGGGTGGGTTTGGATTAGGTGGAGCTGCCCCTCTAACTAGCTCTCCTGGTTTATCTGAGAGAAAATCCCAAAATGTGACTTTGCAAGGGAAGGGACAAGGCTGAGCTGGCCCATGAGCCATTGGATCCTAAGCCAGTCTCATGGCTGCCGTGTGCCAGTGTTGGCCAAAACAGCCTTGCTGTAGCTACAACAGTGTTTCCACTGCTCCACAAAGCCATTATGGCAGAGTGGGAGGGAGTTACAATTGTCCCTGTAATGTGTTAGTTTACTGAGCAATATAGAGTATGGTGTATTGGGGGTGTGGGGTGTGTGGGTGTGGGTGTGAGAGAGAGAGGAACCCAGCCTATAGGAGGCATTAACAACATAAGGGGGCTATATGTAAGAAGAAATAGGACCTCTGCCACCCACAGTTGTTGCTGAAGTGGCTAAAGGAGGAATGTGCACTGAATTAGGACTCGTGCAAGAAGTCAGCTAGTTGCATTGAAAGTCCCTCAAAGGCATATGTTTTAATATTTCATTGCACACACATTTGCAAGCTGCACAGAAGCTTCGAAATAGAGTGTACTAGAAAATAATATAAAATACTTCAAAACCGTCTTTTATTCAGCATAATCACGTAGCTCAAGCAAAATCACTTGCTAGTTGGCATTAGTAAAAACTGCAAAGAAAATAGCTGTGCTTAGTTAAAACTTGATGTGCATGATAACATTTTCATCTGGTAAAACTGGATACATTATTGTTCACACTGTTTACTGAGCTTAGTATTCCAAATACAAACTGCATCTCAAACAACGTAACTCATAAGTAATTATTATCAGGTAGTCAAATGCCAAGAGCTATGGTGTCACAAGGAGAAATCCACATCACAGTTAAATAATATGATCATGAATATTGTATAAGAAAGTCATTTCACATTTAAGTTACGTATATTATTTCCAAAAGTTGCTGATTTGACATTGTGTTTATCTACATTGTTTTTTATCTGGTCAACAAGACATAGTAATAAGTTCAGAATGTTGTTCTTTTGATTTATTCTCTCTAAGGATCACTTTGTGCTATACAGTAACAAAACATGTTTTAATCTGCTCATACAGTTGAAAACCCCAGCTACAGGTGCATTTACCTGTATGAGGCACACAACACTCAGTATACAGTTGATGTCCACAATCACTGCATTTTAATGTGTACATATAAAATATTTAAATGTGTATATTAAATATGTAATATATATAAAGAGGCTTTAAAGCATAAGAATCCAGCACTGCAGAAACACTATAGGAAGTAGAGGAGCCAATTATCTGGAGAGCTTTGTGCTAACCACTTGTGTAGTGCTGAGCAGTATACTGTGGGATAATGTAATTACCTGGAATGAAGCCATTAATTTGCTTATTTTAATTTACACATACTTAGATTTTGTACTAATAAAATTACAGAATAAAACTTAATTCCTGGAGATCAAGTCATGAAGTACCCAAATCACTGTCCAAGGCAGTTCTTAACCTTACAGATGTGTATGATTCCTACTCCTTCATGGCTCCATTGCCTACCTCTTCAGTAATATTTGAATGAGGGAAGGCGTCAATAACATGGTCATTTCCTGGGCCAATGTCTAAACACTACTACAACTACCATTTGGTTCTTCCCTCCCCTTAACAGTTGTCATTCCAACTGGTCACCTTAAGAACACTTGCATAACTTCATGATGGAAGGGCCAATTGCATGGTTATTTCCCATGCCAGTGGCACCAGCTGCCAGTGAGATCATGGCTGGCATAAGAAGTATTTCTTTTGCCTGATCTTCCATGTTTAAGCATTCAAACAGCTGTTATTTGGCTGCTTCCTTCTCTCCCTGAACGTTTGCCATTCCAGCTGGTCACTCTTAAGAACAAGTATGTTAAGTTTAAAAATTAGAACCTGAGTTTGCATGTTTTCAGCTTCCTTCCTGATCCCTTCCCCTTTTGTGTTAGACCGTGTTTGGTTGCAGGATTACAGTCTTGCCTTTTAACATTTGAACGGTGCACAGTATATTTTAGGCACTCTTATAAATGTTTATTAATATAATAGAGCATCATGGGATGGAACGTCACAGAAGAACAAGTGCTGTAAAGAGCTGGTACTTATCCATATTTAAGGCTGTCGGTACTTAACACTTCAAATCTTGGAAGTGGTTTTTTGGCACTGCTTCAAGGGTTCTGGACATTTAAAATATTTTCCTCAATCTGAATTACTGTTCAACTTAAGAGCTGAGTCCTATACATGGTTAGATCTCTAGCTCATATTTGATGGGTCTATAGCATGAAGTGGACAGCTACTTTGTCCCATCAATTTTTTTTCCATCCAGGAAGCTGGTTTATTATATTTTTATCATAGTGGAATTTAATTATGCATTTCAGGACATATGAATAATCCAACTACTGCATGAGTTATGTTTTGAAGCCTCCTGTTTTCAGGATTTGTACCAGTTATTTCTTTCAACTGAAAGAAGATTAGTCAAGCAAACTCATCACAACTTCCTGAATTACTGTATTCCAACTCCCCTTATAACTCTTGACATATTTTTCTCTATGTCACTGGACATCTACACGTTGGTTAGGTGCTTATTTTAATGTAGCTGCTTTTAATTATATGTTATGGCATTATTTTCCAATTTAAAATGTTGGTAAGATCAATCCATATTTGCCAAGCAATATCCTAGGATATCTGATCCTATGGACCCAGTTCAGAGTAATGCTTGGGCACTTTAAGCACAGCATACTTTAAGGGCATACTTCATGATGAATAATGATTGGGAGTTAGTGTTGAATCTATTGAGCTCTGCAAACAATTTTGTTGCTTGAGATAGGACCAAAGAGTCAAGTAGTCAGTTAGCCTATGTTTTGAACATAGCAGGTTGTAGACAGCTAACAGAGGAGCTTTGAATGAAAATGAACTCCCCCATTGTTTACTCAAATAGAAAATACAGAGCCAGTGCTAATTTGGTTTCATTCTACATTTTTATTTGTGTGTGTGGTTTGAAGCAAAGGTGGCGAATCGAGAGCCAGTTTCTAGCCCTCAAAGCTCTTCTCAGGCCATGCCCTTCACTGGCCCTACTTCATACCCTGATTGTTTTTGCATGGCTGGCATGGCCCCTCCCATCGTTGGCATGGTTGCCCCAAAGTGAGTGCATCCCTTGGGGATTCCATCTTCTAAAGCAATGCCAGGAGCTCTGTTTCTACAAGATTGTATTTCTGGCAACGGCCTATGGCTGCTCTATAGAAATGGCCAAGCATACTGTGTCAGTATATGAATGTTATAATACAGCTTTTATTATTTGTGGTGAAGAACGTATCCAAATATGGCAGATGTGGAAAGTGGTCTGTAATGTTGGAGATGTTTTCCACGCTGTATGATTTTAGTGGAGAGTAGCCATTGAAGAGAGAGGTGTCTAAAACAGCAATGTATGTGATCATGTTTCTGTCTCTACATGGCATCTTTAATTTGCCTTGTGCTTCATTGTCGTGGCTGCTGTAGATAGTTAAGCTTTGTTCTCGTATCTGGCCATTGATCTCACTTTTTATCTGTAGTCTTCGCAGTCCCCAAATGGTCAGATATTTTGCTGACAGAGGAATTGTGCCACATAGTGAGAGCTTCAAGTCATACACAGCTGTAAAGTTCAACAGCATTCTCAACATGGATGTTTCCGTGAACCAAATTGTCAGATTATTGTAGTAGCTTTTGTCTATTGTATAGGGCAAAACAGTCTTGCAATTGCAAATCAGATTTGCCAGACTGTAATCGCAGTCATTGTCACTAATATCATCAGGACATGTGCAGTTACGAATCGTGCTTTCCTTGGTGAAAATAAGAGTATTATTCTTTTGGCCTTGTACAAAACTATCCAGACAGAAGCCTAAGAAGCCAACCAAAAAGAGATGGTGTCCATGGGCTAATACTGCCATCATTATAACAGTGTTCTTACCCACAAGAACCTCACTTCATTAAATCAGCAGATCTGATGACTGCAACCTACAGAGAATAAAAGTAAGATGATTATTACCATATAGTACACACCCACAATTTTCCTACCTTGTCTATTTATGGCTGGTTTCCATCAATCTAAGCAGGCCCAAATTACTGAGAGTTGAGGGCAGTAATTACATTTGGAGACCATGAAACCCTCTTTGCAGAACAAGTAGAGATTTGTCCCAGGCTGAAATTCCTGCTTCTGTAGGAATTTGGGTTGTTTTGGTACATTGCTGTCGCTAGCTGTAAAACTGAGAATAATGATGATATAATTCATAGGGTCATTGCAAAGACAAATGAGATGGATTATGAAGTACACTGCACATTGAAATTTTGATAAGAAACAATCATATTTCAATGCTGAACTTTACCGGTCCTTACTTCATAGACTTCAGTTTTAATTCTTTTGCAGTCCTTAATGCAATAACCATAGATGAGATATGCCTTGAATCAGTTTTTCATTAACTTCCATAGAATACAGACTGGAGCTTTCCTCTTGGTCTTCTGAGCACTTCCTTTATTCAAGAATAGCTGTGCACAGGCATCAATCAGGACAACATGCAGCTGATTCAGATTTGCAACAAGTTAAGTAAGTTTTATTGGCTTCATCATACACCATAATAAAACTAAAATACAAGATCAAAATAAAATCCAATAACTCAGAGGATCTGCACTATATTACAATCCAGAGCCAGATGACAGCACAGTATGCTCAGTGTTCTAGTTGAACTGATGTTCTGTGCATAGGAATCAGAATGATGGCAATGTGACATTTTCCTGCTCACTCTATTTCTACTTGGAGGTGTAAACTGTTTGGCAAGCCTTCATTGCAGAAAAAAGTACAGTCCTTGGGCAGTTGCCCAGGTGTGGTCTCCCATAGAGCAGTGTGTAATATAGTAGCAAGTTTTTAATACTGTATTTTCAATTCGTAATCCTCCTGGGACCTCATGGTAAAGGCAAGGAAAGAGATCTAACAAGTAAACCTCTTTAGACTGGAGAAAGTTGTAGCTGCTTTACTTTATTTTCCATGAGCTTTTGTGCTAGAAGTCAGTTACTTCCAGGGTTGAATTACAATTTTGTTGATTCATATTCTGAGGTCCAGGCATCTTATATTGTGCTTTTGCTGCTTCTAGAACATGCTCAGCTTTCAGAGAAGCTGTGCATCCATTCACATGACTGCTCAAAGGGCAGGCAGTCTTCCAGACATGGGGATGTATGAAATAGGGTAGCCCAAAACATATATCAGGGTGCAGGGACATACGAATTTTACTTCCTTATTCAGTCTATTCATGCAGTTCCGTGTATAGGGAACTAGTAGCCAACATCAGCTTTGTTTCAAAGTATTACTCCAGCATACATTTCAAATCTTCTGCGGCACAGAATATTCTGTTCCTCATGATGATCAGGGTATTCAGGATATTCAGAAGACATCATAGCCATTTATCCTGCGTTGCCTTGTAAGAAGGAAATATTCTTTCAAAGACAGAATAGGATCAGATGTCCTAAAGCTGTCTCCACTCTACTCTCATATATTCCCCCATCCAAATAAGTGAGAATGGTGTTTTCTACCTTTTAAAACCCAATATTTAGTTCAGACTCATTGTGGATATCTCTTCAACAACATACCAGAGATGCCAATAAAATGCAGTTAATACTAAACAAAGGTCAAATTCATCTCACCTGCAACACTTTTGAGGTTAATTGAGTTACCTCAATAATAAATCTGGCCACAAATGTCTATGAGCCCAATCATGCATTAACAAGCAGATCCAATTACAACAGTTTCCTGACAGCGCTTTCTCATTTTTTAGCTTGGTTTCTAGGCTCGGGTAAGTCAACTAAATCAAAACATCTACAGTACCACTATTGTGCTATATATAGACTAATATTTCGCTCGCACTTTGTTTAGCTCTGAACTTGTTTATCTATTTGCCAAGTAACATGCTGCAACACAACAGTCCTAGAAAATGTTTTAACAAGTGCAGCATGAACTGCACTACAGTAATTTTTAATGAAGGAGCAGATAGGCATCACTTGTAGGGAATATTGGAGTGTGTGTGGGGGGGTTATATTTCCGTAACAAAGTTTGTGGGGTTTTAGCTCTCACTACACTTAGTTGTTCCATCTACCAATCGGCAAAAAGGCAATATATTTTGGAACCTGCTGAAGCAAAAAATTCAAATGACACTCCCTCTACAGTGAAAATAAAATGGATTACGGTAACTTATTGACCATTCATGGCTTTTACAATGATGCCCCAAATCTGCCACCTAAGGCAGCAGTCTCATTCTGCCTAATGCTATGGCTAGCCCAATTGGGCAGGCAAAATCATGCAACTTGTCCCTAGATTTTCTTAAAGTGTGGCAGCGAAGGCTTCTATGGCTGCCACTTGTTTACGAGTTTGTGTGTATCCTCTCTGGTTGGAGTAAAAGTGATGCTCCATTGTGTGAGGGATGGTATTAAGAAAAAGGGGAGCAAATGTGGCTACTGTTTCTGGTTTATTCTATCCAGGGTTGGTACCTTTGCGATATCACCTGAAGCAGCCCATGTATTTGAGTATCATAATCCGCTGTTATGAATAATAACATCAGTAAAAATACTATATTTGAGAAACAACTTTCTTATATCTATTTACTTACCTTAGCTTTGCTTTGCTTCGTTCATATCATGCCTCCAAAACCAGCACCACTTCACATTTGACTTGACTCGCTATGCTTAAGCAGAGTTCTTCCATACAAGCAGTACTCTTATATCTTGAAGTTGCAAGAAGAGTTACTTTTGGAAATGTTTTCTCACCTTTTCTGGCTCTTTCTGCAACACAAACTAGTGTCAGTGAGTCCTGAAGTTTCTCTGTGCTTCAGCAAGTCCCACCCTGAGCCACATACTCTTCCTCTGATAATTTTCACCACCCACACTGCACTGATATTTGATCCAAGGGTTACCTACATGGTTGTGCGTGTTTCAAGACTCCTACTCAAACTACTTTACTGCTTGCATCATTTGGCATTTTGAAAAATAGTTTCCCTGTAGCGGTTGGCAAGCTGCTCTTTATGAGAGTGGAAAATCTGTTTGACTACAATGACAAAGTCTGTTACGATCAATCACCGGCTCCTGTTCTTTAATGCATCTTTTGAACTGCTATTAGAATGGGGAATAGAGAATACTTGCTGGAACTCAGACATATAAAAACCAGCTACTTGCCATTTAAGAAGAATAGTTTTTAACAGAAATTGCTCATTATCTGTAACCTATGTACCTTTGAAGAAGTGCAGGAAGTGACTGCCTTTCTTATACAACAATGCTAAAGCATCCACAACACCATAAAAACAGCAATAGCATCTTTTTTGGGTAAATATTCAAAAGATCTGAAGCACTATCAAAAAATTCGCACATCAGCGCTCATAACCAAATTTCAGATAGGTCAGGATTTTGTTTGACTAGTAATAACAAGGCTTGTTATTCTGACATTCATTCACGGATATACTAATAATAATAATAATAATAATAATAATAATAATAATAATAATAATTTTATTTATACGCCCTCCCCAGTCAGGCCCAGGGCGGCTAACACCAAATATGAATTACAATAAAACGTAATAGAAACAACAACAAACAAACAGTTAATTAAAATACGGCTTAAAATGCAGCCTCATTTTAGTAGCAGGCCATAAATCAAAACCATAAAGGGAGGAAATATCAGATATTCACCCAAGCCAGCTATCCATGCTGGTCCTACATTGAGGCTTTTATTGGCCTGTATCTTCATTTGCAGTTATATTGATCTCTTTTACCTCCATTTCTTGCTTCAGGTGTTTAGATCCTATTTGAAAACCATGGAGTATAAAAACTGTCACTATTTACATGTTTGGATAATATTTTTCCTTCAACAACCCCCTGGACTGGTTGGATGCAGAGGAATGGTGGGAGGAAGCAGCTGGGGAACCATCAAGGGAAGAAGGCTCAGAGATGGAAGGGGGCAGCACAACAATGAGTGATCAGAGAGAAAAGAGGGAGAAGTCTGGGAGGAGGAGTTATCGGAAGTTGAAGAGGTGACAGATCTTAGTGAGCTGGGAGAGTCTGTGGCAGAAAAGTCCAGAATCAGAGGCAGAAGCTGAAGCAGAGGAGGAGGCCAAGAAATGAGTCAAGCTGGTGAAGAGTCATGGGTATCTTCCCTTTCTGCTGCGATCAGCTTCCCTCCACCCGCTTCCCAGAACCAGATGGTCCCCTTATGGGACAGCTGCATATTCCTACATTGCAGGTGGTTGAACTAGATGATCCTCAGATTCCCTTCCAACCCTACAAGTATATGATTCTATGCTTCTCTATGCATGCCTGACCTGGCCTTAAGAAAATTCCAATTTCATAATATATTGGGGCAAATTTGTGTAAACAACACAATTATAAACAGCCAGATTTAAGTTAATAGCCAACATTTGTCATACTCAGAGTAGACACATTAAAAATATTAGTTACTTCTTCATTTATTTCAATTTACAATCCAACAGCTAGTTCTATGTAAACACGGTGTATGACTAGCACTGAATATTGCCCATATTATTTTATAAACAGAAATGAGCAACAATAATAAGTTTACAAATAATAAGTAGAGGGGAGGGGAAGGAAGCAAACTAAAAAAAGGGTAAAAATACTAAAACCTTGTAGTTGAAATAAAAAGTAATCTGCTTTTAAAGAGCAGTTTAGTAGAAGTCTTAAAACAGTACTTTCCCAAGTTTAATATACTGTACATTATTTAGGCCTTGTGGTTGGTTCTGTGGTGAAGCATTAAACTGCCTAGATAAGATGGAATTAAATTGGGAGCTTGTTATAAATAACATTCCAGTAGGACTAGATAGTAGTCCCCTGATCCTTAAAAAAAATAGAGGGGAAAACCCAACCACTAGTTTTCTGTAAATAAATTCTAGGACCTGTTTTGCTGTCATGACTGCAAAAGCCTCCAAGATGAGTTTGTGCAGATGTTTTGTCTCATTGTTAATTCCACCAGGCCAATGAACATCCTGTTCAAAAACATAAATCTGTAAGGACTTTATTTCTGAGAAAATGTTTGTTTTTTAGTATCCCTGGCATCCAAAACCCTTTTGGGGTCTCATTTGACAATATACTACACAGTGGTTCAGTTTGGATGCTAAGCAAACAATGGTTGGGTACTATGTGAATGAGTTTGTGCACCCCCTCCTCTTCTTGTGCACTCTGTGATTCAGTATGTCCTTTCTTGGTTTGCAGCAAACCATCATTTGTTGTTGCAACCAACCTGGCAAAATAATTTGTGCTTGCTGTGCAAACCAAGATCAAACTTGGATTTACAATCATGGTTTGCAAGGCAAAACCAAAGCCATAATTTTGTTTTGTTTTTGCCTCAGATGTAATTACGGACAATGGTTTGCTACAAGCATGGACATGAGGGGAAGATGCAAAGTATGAGGAAGCCTACAAGCCCAAGGCTTATTCTAAGGCTATGGTGGGGTCTTATGTTTTGAACCAAGCCATTGAGAAAGTTGCTTACAAAGTTATGGCAGTTTGTGATGGAACGGTCCTGTGATATCATATTAACAAGCACCCAGAAAGTAAATGTTGTAACTCTCACTGCTGAATTCACATAGGGAAATTCCTTCTTTGGAAAATGCTTCCCCCAGATCTCCCTGCATAGGTATACACATAGCTGATGTAAATGGTTCCTTCCTGGTGAAATTTTCTGAGCAAACCCCATAAAACAATAGCTCTTGTAGTTCATCATTTAGTTAGCCACATTCTATTGACTGCAAATAGCAACTTTAGGAACAAATAACAGCATGGGGGGATATCTGGTGGGGAACAGAGTAGGGCTGAGAGGGTTAAACCTCCCCTCTCCCCATACCATGTCCCAGTCTGGATCAGGGTATCCCACAGCTGGTTATTCTAAGCAAATAATGTCTAGCTGTAAGCATGCTTTTTAACACGTGCTTATTATAACGTGTAGTTTGGCCCTAAATCTATGTGTATTGTTGTTTTACATTTTTAAGCAACATCATTGCCTTTAAAACAAGAAAAGCTATAGAGAAAGAATGTGAGTTTTTTAATAAGCCTCCCAGGTTTTAGCTCCTGGAATTAGTTTTCTTTTAGATAAACTTGCAGATGCCAGTGGAATGATTGCATTGCCAATGTTTGTTTTACCCAAGCATGTGGTATCATAGCAGCCTGTCACTCCCACTAAATGTTTCTACTGATACTGGAAGAAAGCATTTTCCTAAAGCGGGACTGACAAAGATAGGAATTCAAAATTTTAACGGGAGGCAACTTAAACATGAAAGCAAACATGCAAGGGAAAATATTATCTCCAAAAGAAATAATGACAAACTAAATTTGCCAAGCTGACAACTCTTTTTTGAACTTTCTACATGTTGAAGGAGCACAGTGAGAGTGTAGCCAGGTCTTAAAAACTGCTTGAAATCTGAGGTATTAGAATTACACCACAAGGTTCGTTACTGGCACTGGAGTAACAACAGCACTTTTCACATGCCCCCTTTCACATATTAGTTATATCAAGTTAATCTTGAATACAGTACTCTTTTCCTCCCAGACTTGGGCTGCATGGTTTGTAGCTTTATGCTTTAACTAAATAGCACAGAAACCTCTTACAAATAAAACAAATCCTTGAAACATACGGGTAATTTCCTAACGACAGGTTTAATGATAAAAATGTAATTTGATTTTTGCTCTTATCCCTGTACAGTCAACACAGCTCAGAAAACTAGTCTCTATAAACTTGGAAAGTTTGAGACCAAATTGACTGTTTTTCATTTATTAGCTTCATTGCTTATATAAAGAATGTTAATTCAGAAATAATAATAACATGCACACGTAGTGTTCTGATATTAAAAGTCTCTGTCCTGAGTTTACAAACTTATTCATAGGAAAAGCTACATGGTACTGAAGTTTGAGATTCAGAAAGAGACTTTCAGGAATGAATCTTAATGACAGAACGCTGCTGTGGTAGAAAGCGGCTTGTTTCTCGGGCATTAGGAATTACGCTCTGCTCTTTCTATAATAGCAGCACACAATTTTGTTTAGCAACAGAGAAGAGTACTTACGCTTCTTGTCTGTTGAGTAGTTTGGCGGTGTTGCTCTTCACTTTGCAGATTTTATCTGTGACTGTACTGGTGCTTTGCTTTCATTTGACAGCCTGGTTAATCAACAAGACAGGGTGGAATGTGTGGTCTTGCACTTACTGTTCTTTTATGTTTTCTGGAGGCTTGCAGCCTGAGCTACCATGACAACCAGGAGAGACGCTTGAGGCCTACACCACTTCATTAATAACTGAGTAAAATAAATACCTGGTTTTATTAGCCCCTCTTGCACAGATTGGCAGTTTAAGATTTTGTCTTGGAAATGACAGAAATCATACAGGAAGGCATATGTACAGATGTAAAACAAAATAGCCACAATCTGTAAGATGTCTGTGAAAGAAGAACAGGACACGGAGAGTTCTTCTTTATCTTAACACCATAGGAGCCAACTCCTAGGGGCTGGGGTGAGGGGTGTTTTCGGACCCCACAATAAAATATTTGATGGGGCTGGGCTCCCCCCATGTTAATGGGCATTGCCATTCAAATGTTGTGCATGATCAATTATGCGGGTTGGAGCTTTCCTGCCCCCCCCCCACATTTTATTTAAGTTACAGGTTACAGGTTAAGTTAATAGTTACAGGTTTGGAACAGGTGACAGCAATCAAGGGGCACTGAGATTGGTGTGGAAGCTGAGGGGGCATATATTCAGACTTAATTTGTGAACAGATTTTAACTGTGTTGCATATGTAAACTCTCCATAGGTACTGAGTTGCTGTGTAGACTACCAGCTTTTTGGTACTTGGACCAGGCATCTTTTTGCATGGAAAATGTGCTGGTTATTGTGTTCAGAATCCCCAGCAGTAGGACACATTTTGATGGAAGAAATTTGGTACACTACTTGCTTTCCATGATTTCTGTTGTCATGTGTTGTTGTTTAGTCGTTTAGTCGTGTCTGACTCTTCGTGACCCCATGGACCAGAGCACGCCAGGCACTCCTGTCTTCCACTGCCTCCCGCAGTTTGGTCAGACTCATGCTGGTAGCTTCGAGAACACTGTCCAACCATCTCGTCCTCTGTCGTCCCCTTCTCCTTGTGCCCTCCATCTTTCCCAACATCAGCATCTTTTCCAGGGAGTCTTCTCTTCTCATGAGGTGGCCAAAGTATTGGAGCCTCAGCTTCACGATCTGTCCTTCCAGCGAGCACTCAGGGCTGATTTCCTTAAGAATGGATACATTTGATCTTCTTGCAGTCCATGGGACTCTCAAGAGTCTCCTCCAGCACCATAATTCAAAAGCATCAATTCTTCGGCGATCAGCCTACTTTATGGTCCAGCTCTCACTTCCATACATCACTACTGGGAAAACCATGGCTTTTACTATACGGACACATACATATGTCACGTACATATGGATAATAAATGCTATTTCAGAACATAGGATAGTATCCAACAAAATAGTTCAGTTAGTTGAAGGATTTCTGTCTGTGCAGTGGAACTTCTCCTCCCTCTTCCTTCCCCTTCCTTTGCAGCCCTTGCACCCTCCCCAACCAGCTCTGGGGGTTGAGGGAAATCCGGGAACATAGTTTGGGAGAGGCACAAGGAGAGGGAGGGGAAGTTCTGTTGCACAGCTAAGAAACTACTTGGTTGGATAATGCCCACAATGTTTGTTTCCTTACTTGTGGGACATGCTGTGGAGATTAGGGTTCCAAATTGCATGAGGAGCCAGTCTGAGCAGAATAGGCTGTCAGACGCAGGCTTTCAGCTCAAATGGGGACTGAAGGGAAGGGCCATGAAGACCACAATCTAGGGGATGGCACCAATGAACATACCCCTGCTCTCTCTCCTCATGTAACTGGAATTACCTGAGGGGGGGAGAGCTGAGGAATTAGTTGGTATTATTTCTCATTAAACCAAATTAAAGTGCAGAACATTAAAGTGTTGAACATCACATAGAAAACTCTGTGGCACTTGAGATCTCCTTCCAGTTTGATACAGAACCAATTAATGAATCTTTGTTGGGCATGGTTGCTCAACCATCTGGGGACCGACCTGAGTATTTTTATACCACATTTTACCATCTTGTCAACAAGCAGATCATAGGATACCTTGTCAAATGCCTTTTTTTCTGAAATCAAAGTGATCTACCGCACTAATAGCTATCAAAAAAGAGATACAGCTGGCCTAGCATGATGCATTGTTGATAAACTCACGCTGGAGCCTAGAAATAGCGACATTCTTTTCTAGATGCTCACAGATGAAAATCACTTAAAAATCTGTTCTATAATTTTGCCTACTTGGGCCAACCTGTTTCGAAGTTTACCAACATCAGCTCAACTGGTCTGTGGATTCCCAAATCTGCTATATTTCAGTTGTGAGTCTCATCCCACCTAGTCTCGATGTTACCTATCAGATTAAGTGTACAGGAAACTCGGAAGCCTCCAAATTAACCATAGTAAATTAACTACATTATAGGGATAAGAATATGAGAAGGTTGGAGAAGAAAAAGTGTATTAATTGCATTTGTTATAGGTGGAAATATGCCATCTAGTGGCTCAGTATTGTTATGATTAAGTGAAATAGATTTGAAAATTACATACATACATACATACATACATACATACAATCTGTGGACCACATTTTCATATGCATGTGTTATTACTGAAATAAACATTTTACACATTGGGAAGAGAGCCGTAATATATCTGGAGAGGAAGTAGACGGCACAATACAAATGCAAGACAGCAAGCAATAGGCAGGAACAATAAAGAAAAAGCGCTGTTCAACTTTCAGAAGCTTGAAAATTAATAATATAAAAGGTATCATCAAGGCTGAAGTTCCCAGAAGGTATAAAAAGATCATGAGTACAATCCACTGGAACATTCCCTTGGGCAAGGCCAACTAAAATGAATGAAACTTGCCCTACTTTTGTACAGCTGTTCCCATTCTTTTCATGGGAGAACAGGAGATTTTACTTTCCAAAATGTCCACCGAAAGGGAATGTGGTCCGAAGAGGCTCACAATAGGCATGAAAGAAGGCTGGGGACATAAATGTTCTTAATAGGTAAAATAAATATGCTTTCCCCTATCTATCTGGGACTAATTGCACCTCCGTTTTTCTCCATTCCAGCAGGTTTCCAGTACTGTACATTGCTATATTTGTGTTCATGTTTAACATCAAGCAGCCAATTCTTTTTCATCTTAACATGGAGAATCCTGCTATTCTTTTATTTATTTAGTGCATTTATATGCCTCATTTAGTTCATCATGGGATTCCAGGCAGTGTGCATGAGGTTTGTAGGTCATTTCTCATCCAGCCTTCTCTAAAGATAGTTATGCCACATGTCCTTAGACCACACAGATAATGGTGTTGCTCTATACAGGCCTCCATGAAGCTACAATATTTAAGAGGAATGCCCATTCCCACAAAACCAATTTTGGTGGAAATATCAGGCTAGAAAAGTTAAATCCTATGCACCCTTACTATGTGTTCCACAGAAATAAAAGGCATTACTTCTGAGTATACATATGCTGCAGATTTTGCTACTGGGTAGAGCAGGAACAGGCTAATCTGTTTTTCTTAAGGACTTTTAAAAAGAAGAGAATGTCCGGAACTTAAATGCTTTAAATAATGGTTTCTAGATTTCATTTGGCATGGCATCCTGGCATACATCATACTGCTAGGTTGGGTTTCTTTTGTAGTTTTACTGTGAAGTTTTCCCATGCTTTGAAAAACAATTTAGTGTGAAAGAATCCACATACAATAAGAAAATGATTGAATGATCCTGCAGAACCAGTTAACACTGGCCCTACAGAACAAGCTGCCAAATATGCAAAGTGAGCAGAGAGGAAAAAGAAAACGGAATATTTATATTTTTCTCTAATCCCTCTCTAGGTACAGAGATCTTCATTTACTGTATACAATCACTGCTTAATCCATACAAATCCAGGAATGGTTTCTTCACTTGTATCCTTCAATTGAAAATACTTTAGAAAAATCAAATCAAATATAATAATGTATTATGGACAACACTGATTTCTCAGGTAGAAAAAGATTACCTTCCCCTCTCAGTTTTCTAATAATGTCTCTCTCAGCCACACCAGCAGATTTGTTCAGGAGAACGCAGGCAGACAAGCAGACTCTCACCACCTTTTCAACATTTTTAATAAAAGAATGGACAGAATGTGGGGTTGGTTACATAGTTAAAATGACTGTCACAATATAAAATGGCTTAGGCCAGTCATTCTGAGGTGTGCAGGGATGGAAAACCTCAAAGTAGTGTAATGAGACAAACATACAGTCTTACTATCATAAATGAAGAGTAAGTTACAATCATTATATCACATGGAGTTCTGAGCTACAAGTTTGGAACCAAGCCACGAAGGAGATTTTGAGAGAAAAGCAGAAATTGGAAGGAACCCTATGAAAAAAGAGGGGAAAGAGTATGTGAGTGATACTTGTGAGCTATTAATGCCAGCTGGCTTGGGGTTCCACAAGGTGGCAGAATTTCTCTCAAAATCTCCTTCACATATTGGTTCCAAAGGTGTAGCTCAGAGCTCCTTGTGATGCAATGATTGTAGTTTACTATGTATGCTAGTATGAGAGTATAATTAAATTACAAGAAATACCAGACATGCTGTGTTGTACAGTAAAAGTAGAAAGAAGTAACTTAAGCTTCAGTCTTATGCACACAAACCTGGGATTATGTCCTCTTAAACTCAGTGAGGGTTTTTTTTACTTCTGAGTAGAGATGGATAGGATTGCACTGAAATTTGTGTGCTGTGTCACAGGAAATGTTATTACATATTTCCTTATGTTATTGTTTGCCATGATACCAAGGAGATTCTTTTGAGGGCTGAAGCCTATACCCACTTATTTGACAGTAAGCCCACGTGAACTGTATCCTCCAGACAAAACATAACAAACAATACAGTCAAGTCACACTTTTGTAGACTAGATAGTTGCTTTGGTCACCTGTAGATACTCTATTATAGTGTGGGGATGCAATAAGGTTGCTAAATAAATCAATGACACAACTACCAATATATTTGTGATATACTTTGCAGGTTGGCTTGAAATAGAAGTATGCTAGAAAATTCAAAGAGAAAGTGTTTCCTATCAAATCCTCTTCAAATCAATATGTGAAATAAAGGTGATGTATACTGTTTTAAGTAAATAAATTGTGAATCACTGGGTAACAACTGGCTCTTTCTATTTTTGTACAGTGCCTAGCACATATTAGATGGGTCACGCCACAGGTTCAAACAGAAGAGAAGCACCAGATGTTAAAGGCACCTAACAGATGCCATTGAGCAACTGTAGATATGTTCCACCTCTGTCATTCAGGAGACGGTCCCTGGGGTTTAGGGGCACCCTGGGGACAAAGATTTATTTGACCAGATGGA